GGGAGGATATGAAGTGTTAAGTCTGGAAAGTAATACTGTCTGAGCAATATTGAAGACAGGTAAGAACCGACTCAACTGTAGCAAAAAATTATTTGGGTTAAAATTTCAAAAATAAAGGCAGCGCCTGTGGCTCAAAGGAGTAGGGAGGATATGAAGTGTTAAGTCTGGAAAGTAATACTGTCTGAGCAATATTGAAGACAGGTAAGAACCGACTCAATTGTAGCAAAAAATTATTTGGGTTAAAATTTCAAAAATAAAGGCGGCGCCTGTGGCTCAAAGGAGTAGGGCACCGGCCCCATATGCCATAGGTGGTGGGTTCAAACCCAGCCCTGGCCAAAAACTGCCCCAAAAAATGTTTTTTTCAAAAATATTTCTTGGCTATAACAGTAATGAGATACTTGAAGGGGGTGACCAAAAAAAGGCTATGAAGCCTAAGGCCACAGAAAAGGAATTTCTGCAAAAAGACATGAGATGAACTAGAAAATGGAAAGTAAACCAAGCTTTAGCATAGCCAGCAAATAACAAATTTCTCCTCAGACTTTCTCTTTTAAATGATGATAGCATGTGATTCTTTCCCTTGAAAACATCAGAAGACAGGATTTTATAAAATCATAAAGTGATTCAGGGTTGTAGCAGCAGAGCTTTAGAAATCCAAGTATGAAGCAAGGTGTAGATTTTTTTTCTCAAAAAGTCCTCACATCATTAAGTATACTTTCCGCCCTAAACAGAGGCAGCTCTTCCCTCCTCTGTTCATCATAACTTGCCAAACTACATCTATTCAACCAAATGCTACTCGTCCCATTTGCTAATGATTTGGATCATGAAAATCAACAAATTCACCACAAAATAACTCCAGGCCTGGAAATTAAGTGTCAAATTTCTCTCTTTCCTAGATATAGAATATCATTTTCTTAGAAAAGTTTTCTTATTCTTGGACTCAGCTATAAAGAATAATGTATTGGGGTAGACCAAGGCCTTAGTCATTAAGACAAACATGTGACAGTCTCACAAAGCTAAAAACACCTGGTTAAATAATAGAGACGATGAGATCACTGAACTCTAATTGCATACTTGCAAAGTTGAACCCTTCCTTATGGGATGTATCTGCAGAACTAAAGAGCATTAAAAGGCAACAGTGAGAAAACAAGCATCACATGCACTCATTGTTGCCTTTTAATGCTCTTTAGTTCTACAGATACCTCTTATAAGAAAGGGCTCAACTATGAAAGTATGCAAGTAGAGTTTAGTGATCTCACGTAACCTAAATTTATGTACCCCCATATTAATCTGAAAATTTAAAAAAGGTAACAGTGGCTGTTTTGTAGCTTACTACTTCCCATGGTCCAACATTAGCTAGTTGCCAAATCCCTCCTGTCAAGTGGAAATTAGTTTTGATACCAAAGAGTTAATTTTCTCATAGTCTATGGCCAAAGCCTGATGTTAAGGTAGCCAGTGAATAATCTACAAAACATAATGATGAAGGCTACGATGTGAGAAGGCAGTTGGAGGGGTTAAATGGAAGTGAAGAAAGAATTCAAAGTAAGCAATGAAAAATAGATCCTTTCACATCAGCAGCAAAGTTCAAACTGGAGTATTAATAAAGTACATTTTATAGCTTAATGGCTCTGGCAAAGGGGCTTTGTTTGCTGGCTAGTACATGGCAAAGAAAATAATTGCAGAAAAGGGAATATATATGAGAAAAGAGGAAGGAAACCCATGTACCTTCTCTGCACCAAACTTGCGAGTTTCACATCTTGATGGATCTGAGGGCCATTAAAGTCATAAAAAAAAAAACAACTCAAGTCCCTAAATTAACAAGCTTCAATACGAAACTTCAAAATGCAGTAGAAAACTCCCCATTTTCCTCCCCTCACCACCCTAAAGTGTCCCCATTTTTCCTCCCCCCTCTTGAGAGAAGAACTACTCTAATTTTAGAAAAAGGAGAACCAGCTACTGGACAAGGATGATTTAAACTCAGTCTTGCCCAGAGATTACTAGATGTCACTTCTGATTGAAGATTTTAATAGGACCGAAAGGATGGAATATAAAGCCAGATCTGTAGTGAGAATTTGGAATTAGCTTACTTTTAATTCAGTTATTAAGAGAATAAATTAATTTTAATTTTAAATTAGTCAAGGTGTTAGCTCTAAAAAATCTAAAAGTAATTTTTAATTCATTTTTTTGATGCTAGTTGAATATTTAAAAGTCTACAATTATTAACCATATTTCCATGGCCAAAGTGAAAGAAAATCATCTCCCACCCCTTTAAGCCTGGTACCTTTTCAAGTAGGTTGATACATAGGTAGAAGGAGCAATTGTCTGTGGGGTTTCATTTCCTTTGGCTTCATCCCTCCATAGCTGCCGGGTATAGGAGCCACTCCTCACTAGATTAACAGCTGATTCTCTGCGGAGGCATGAAAGGAAAACAAAACACTGATTCCTAGCACTAGTTTCTGTCTGTGATACAATGCAAACAGAGAGAGAAAACCCAGATAGACAAAGTGTAACATGGTTAAAGAAATGGACACATTTTTCAGATGATTCTTGGTTTTATATACCTGTTTTCTGTACAGAGGATGAATAAATATTTGTTTTTTTTAAAAATCAGCTTCAAAGCCAAGTAATTTCAAAAGATACCATATTCTTCATTGTCAAAGATCTCTAATCTTTTTATAATGAGAAGTCACTTTTGTTTCTCATTTAAAAAGTGCCTTGCAATCAGTTCCCAGTGGTAAATGACTCATAAGTTAAGCAGAGAAGTGACAATTGTAGAAGACGGAGAAGTCTTACTAAGGAAAGAGGTTACTACAGAAGGAAAAAAGGTAGGTAGAAAGAAAGCTCTTTAGCATTATACATGAAAAAGTATCCAGGTAATGGCTATAGTGGGATTTTTGATCCACAATTGCTAAGCCAAGGTTTTTGCTACGAAAGCTATGGGCTGGATTCACAAGGTTCTCTTGAGCATTTATCCTCAATCTTTAACATGGATTTGAATAACCTAGGGAATTTTGTTAAAATAGATTCTATTCATCTTGAGTGGAGCCAAAGATTCTGTAACTCTAACATGCTCCCAGGTGATGGCAATACTGCTGGTTGGGGGACCACACCTTGAGAAGAAAGGTTCTAGATCAGATTATTTTCTGAGATGGTGTGATACTGCAAAGTCTCTGTATTCATTTTAACTGATTAGGAAGACTTTAATTTTATTTACTTACAAATTAGAAGTTGCACAATTGAATTAAATAACATTATTTTAAGTTTACCACCTCACAGGCACTATGCTAGGTACTAGGGATCCTTGAGAAACCAGACAAACATAGACCTTATCTTTACAGAGCCTGCTGGTGGCCTAAAACCAATCCATACTCTGAAGAGCTAGGGTAAACTTTCTAAAGACAGTAATATCTAAGCTGGAGTTTGAATTAAGAACTGGCAAAGTCTAAGTATGTAAGGGGGTATGAGAGGTATTCTAACCAGAAGGAATAAACAATTTATAATGTGTGAAGGACATCTGTGAAAAAAAGTATAGAGAAATAATGGCCAGGAGTTAACTATGTCCAGCAGAGTTAAAGAAGACTATCTCTTGGCCTGTATTAGAATTACCTGTTCTCCTTTTCTTCAATGTCACTTGTGCTGTTGAGTCTCTGAGGAGCTAGTGAACTAAAATAGCTTTTGTTTTCTTTCTCCTATAAAATAAAAATAAGTAAAGCACAAGAAAGATACAATACTGACACGATGTGAAACATTTTGGATAAAAACAAACTTAATATACCTATATCATCTTATTTCTGGATTCAACATCAATTCCATTTTGAGTGATAAAGTGGAATTTCAGTTTAAAAAGTTAGCTTTCAAAAGCTTACTGCTAACTTTCCTCCATTAAAAAATAATATTTAGGGAAATAAATCTCTTGAGAAAAGTCACAATGATCAAATAAAGAAAACAGCACAAATTACATACAGCAGCAGCTCTGCCAAAACAGAGGTAGAGCCTTTGAAAAGCCGCAAACAGAAAGCCCCACTCAAATATCCTTCATGAAATAAGCCTTAGATAGTCACCAGCACCTCTTTCTTGAAATGAAGCTTCCACAGGGACATATGCAATGAATGAACTGTTATGCCTCAGCTCACTAAGTAGACTCCAGAAATGCAACACAAAGCAAGAGGACCGGCTTGGTGCCTGTAGCTCAATGGTTATAGCACTGGCCACATACATTGGGGCTGGTGGGTTCAAACCTGGCCTGGGCCTGCTAAACAACAATGACAACTACAATGACAACAAAAACATAGCCGGGCCTTGTGGCGGGTGCCAGTAGTCCCAGCTACTTGGGAGGCTGAGGCAAGAGAACTGTTTAAGCCCAAGAGTTGGAGGTTGCTGTGAGCTGTGACGCCATGGCACTCTACTGAGGGCAACAAAATGAGACTCTGCCTCAAAAAAAATAAATAAAAAAAAAAATAAAAAAGCAAAACAAAGCCAGAGGACCAGAACAAAAGTAAAAGTAAATAAATTAAACACAAAAAATAAGAAGACTATGATTACAAGGAATACCTGACCCCAGAGAAAAGCACTAAGTGAACTCCCATAAAATCTGGAACCCAAAGTGAAGAAAATAAAAATATATTTATCTTAGATGAACTGCTTGTAAAGTAAGCTTGATCATACTTCCAAATTAATTAAAAATGACAAGTTAAGAAATTTTTTTGTAAGTGCTAATTTGCCTGAGCTTCATTAGGATTCAAAGCCCAGCTAAGAAATTTTGCTTCTAAACATCAAAAAGGAAGTGTCTGTATTAGTTCAAAGAATCTTTTGGGCCATATCCAAATTTTCATGATTCTGATCCACTTTATGCTGTAAGTAAAGGGGTAAGGAAGAATGAATGTAAAGGTAAGCCAAAAGGAAAAGCTATTAAAGCTTTTCTTTTTTGGCACCGCAAATAATAGCAAGCAAATAGCTACTTAATTAAATAATCAATGTACCTGCTTCCCTTTAAAGGCTTTGTACTTCCAGAATCAACTTAGGAACTAGAACATATTTTGTTCCCAAGATTGAATTTTCAAGGAAGAAAACTGCCTTGGAATTCCTCATACACTGCCAAAACTGCACCTTATCTTTGTTGTCCAGCAAAGCAGAAATCCGAGGGCTTGATGAGGAGCGGTAGATGGAAGAGCCTCGGTCCCTTAGAGCTTCCCTGGAGTTGGCCACCTCACTTAGCATGTTGTGGCTGCCAGTTTTTCTGAGTCCCAATCTCCACGAAGAAGGAGATTCATCTTTGGGCTCTTCTGACTTGTTAAAAAGGCTAGAGGAGAACTATGAAAGAAACAAAGAAAATAAAATGCCTTGATGATTCTATCTCAGTTTATTTGCCTTTTCCACACTTAACTAAGCTCAGGGAGGCAACATTAAGGCAGTATAAGAAACAAATACATGGACTACACTGCTGGTGGGAATGTAAACTAATATGTTCCTTTTGGAAAGACATCTGGAGAACACTTAGAGAACTAAAAATAGAACTGCCATTTGACCCCGCATTTCCTTTGTTGGGTATATTCCCAGATGACCAAAAATTGCATTACAACAAAGACATTTGTATCAGAATGTTTATTGCAGCCCAATTCATAATTGCCAGGTCATGGAAGAAGCCCAAGTGCCCATCGATCCACGAATGGATCAACAAACTGTGGTATATGTACACCATGGAATACTATGCAGCCATTAAGAAGGATGGAGACTTTACATCCTTCACGTTCACATGGATGGAGCTGGAGAATGTTCTTCTGAGCAAAGTATCACAAGAATGGAGGAAAAAGTATCCAATGTACACACCCCTATTATGAAACTAATTTATACCTTTTATATGAAAGCTATAACAAAATAGCCTAAGAATATGGGGAGGGGGGAGGGAGAAGGGAGGGGGGAATGGGTGGAGGGAGGGGGTTTGGAGGGATCACTTCTGAGGTTTATCTTATAGGGGTACAAGTAAATTTTTCTAAGAGTAGAATGTGAACATTTTAAAACAATAACTGAGAAAATGACATGAAGGCTGCGTTGACCAGTTTGATGGAAGTATTTCAGATTGCATGTGAAAACCCCACACTGTACCCCAGAAGTGCATTAATGTACATAGTTACCATTCAATAAAAAAAAAAAAAAAAAGAAACAAATACATGGAGGTTTTCTGCCAATATTCTCTTTCTCACCTAGCAAATGCTAATTACCCTCAAGATTCTCTTTCTCCCTAAGCCAGAAATAGCCTCAGATTCTTAACACAATGCTCCTACCTGACAAAGTTGTTCTGAGAAATTAAACACCATTTGTTCTCCCTGTGCAATTAGTATTAACCTAGAACATCAGAAAATTGTATTCTAGTAGTACATCTTCTCTTGACTCACTGTGTAACTGAAAATAAGATAATGCATTTCTTTAGGTTTTACATGTTCAATCCATAATGAACATGATGATAACGTGACATGGTGATGATAAGCATAATTCCTCCTTATAATATGTGGAAACTGGAAAAACAAGATGAGCTAATTTATAAATATGTGTTAAGGTACTGGGATAAGCTGATATCAGTTAATACCAGTAAAAACAGTAAAGGACACTGAACTCAAATTCTAGTTGTTACTTTCAAGAAAACTCATTTGATCAGGGCAGCAGTTCTAAGAGCTTTAGATTTAACTGACCAGCAAAATTAAAAAAAAAAAAATTAGAGGTCAAAGGGTTGCCATTTTCTTTATTTTGCCAAGAGATCATCTTTCATAAAGATGGTCTCTTTTTGAACAACTCACTATCATCACCAGTTCTTTTTTTTTTTTTTTTTTTGCAGTTTTTGGCCAGGGCTGGGTTTGAACCCACCACCTCCGGTATATGGGGCTGGCGCCCTACTCTTTGAGCCACAGTGCTGCCCTATCTATCACCATTTCATTAAAAAAATGAACAAACGGGCGGTGCCTGTGGCTCAAAGGAGTAGGGTGCTGACCCCATATGTCAGAGGTGGTGGGCTCGAGCACAGCCCTGGCCAAAAACTACAAACAAACAAACAAATATCCTGTACAGGCTTAACTCAGTGGCTTATGCTTATAATCCTAGTACTTTAGGTCGAAGCACAAGGATCACTTGAGGCCAGGAATTCAAGGCCAGCCTGAACAATATAGAGAGACCTATCTCTCCAAAATCTTTTAAAAATAGCCAGGTGTGATGTTGCATACCTATAGTCCTAGCTATTTGGGAGGTTGAGGCAGGAGGATTGTTTAAGCCCAGGAATTTGAGGCTACAGTGAGGTATCACTGCACCACTGCACTCCAGCCTGAGCAACAGAATGAGACACTGTTTCTCAGAAAAGATAGCTTTGTCTTTAATGATCTCATTTTGCCATAAACCAGGAAAAATTCATAGACTAGCATTAGCCTAAGGACTAGTCTGGGGCACAACTGGTCTTTGGAACACCAGCCACCAGCCCCTTCCTGAACTCTAGGGATCTTTGCAAAAAGGTTTAGATAGTTTTCCCAATACCACATCACCTTTCCTGCCTAGTAAAAATCAATAAAAACATTAAATCACTTGTCTCCAACTCACACTCAGACTTTCTGTTTTCATTAAGCATCTGAATGAATACACTTATGTATTCCTCCAGCTTTAGAGGCTCAATCATGTCTGCTTTTTATAAACTACCTCAATTCTAAGGAGAAAAAAATACCTTTCCTAGCACTATTCTGGCAAAGTGGAATAAGTATATATGTGTGTTTACATATATCATTTAATTTAGGATTTTTTCTTTAAAAAAAGTAGGAAATTTAATCATCCCTATAAACAGCAATACATGAGGGAAAACCAAATAACTGGATGAGTGAGGACTACATTCTATTTTAAACTTCCTTAATGATTAAAAATGATGCTTCTAGTAATAAACAAGCATTTATTTATTTATTTATTTATCCCATTTCTACAAGCATACCATACAATGATCTTTCCCATCCATGAAGTGCTAAGATGAATACGTTAGTATGTATAAAACAACAGGGCTTTTTCAACAGCTTCATGCCAAAGAACTCAGATCAATTCTTAACCTCAAAACTAAATTTATACTTTGTAGACTAGGGTCATCATTCAACTCTGTCTCTCTGACTAGAAGCCTACAGAAAGTTTCGGAGGGCAGTGCATCTAGTATTTCAACAAGTCCTATCACCTCTGCTCTCTACCTATCATACAGGCTTTACTCATGAAAATAAAATTTCAAAGGAGAAACAGAAAAAGGAGAATAGTTATCAAAACAATTAATGCTGGAAGCTAGATATCTTCCATTACATACAGCTATCTTCAGATAAAAAGAAAATACGTAACTGACAAAATTTCTTTGGTCCCAGTCTATTCTATTATCTTAACACACTGTAGCTGAATTTGTTTGGCAAGAGCTGATAGGTTTTGAGGGGCAATGTTATGGAATGAATGTTTGTGTCCTCCCCAGATTCATATATTGAACCCTAATCCCCAGTGTGCCTGTATTTGGAAATAGGGCCTGTGAAGAAGTGATAAAGATTAAATGGGCTCGGCGCCTGTGGCTCAAGTGGCTAAGGCGCCAGCCACATACACCTAAGGTGGCGGGTTCGAATCCAGCCCGGGCCCACCAAACAACGATGGCTGCAACCAAAAAATAGCCGGGTGTTGTGGCGGGCGCCTGTGGTCCTAGCTACTTGGGAGGCTGAGGCAGGAGACTCGCTTGAGCCCAGGAGTTGGAGGTTGCTGTGAGCAGTGAAGCCATGGCACTCTCCCCAGGGGGACAGCTTGAGGCTCTGTCTCAAAAAAAAAAAAGAAAAGAAAAAAAAGATTAAATGAAGGGAAAAGAGTAGTGCTCTAATCTGATAGGGCTGGCTCCCTTATAAGAAGAGTAAGAGATACCAGAGCGCTTGTGCTCGTGTTCTCTCTCTCTCTCTGCCATATTAGGATGTAGTGAGAAAGCAGCTACCTTCAAGCCAGGAAGAGAGCCCTTACCAGGACTGAATTGGCCAGTATCTTCATCTGGGACTTCCTAGCCTCCAGCACTGTGAGAAATTAATTTCTGTTGTTTAAGCCTATAGTCTCCAGTCCTGGGGCCACGGATTAGTACTGGTCAGAGGCCCACACAGCATCACTGCCTGCACCACCTGAACACTGCCTCCTGTTCTATCACCTCCTCATGTCCCCAACCCCTGCTCCATATGTGGAAACACTTGCCTTTCATGAAACTGGTCCCTGATGCCAAAAAAGTTGAGAACCAACTGGTTTAAGCCACAGTCTGTGGTATTTTGTTATGGGAGCAGATAATGACAGCAAGAATGCATCAGTATTGTTTTACAAGAATGTATCTTTAAGGTGTATCTTAGTATGTATTATTGCAGTAGGGTAAAATATAATACCCAGATTAATTCCAAAATACTTACTCTTCTAGCAGAAGAGGCAGAGAAGGTATTCTGAGCAGGCGCTGGTATCTGCTCTGTGATACTACTCTTGTTTTCAGAGTTGGAATGGTTGACAATGGCTTCTGGCTTTTTATCTGTTAAGACAAGAGAAGCAACACGTACAAGTATAAAAATCTTATCTTTGTATGTATGCCCTTTTCCGCTAATAAAATAGGTTTGCCCATTATCAAAACAGATTATTAGGGCAAATGTGATACTTGGACTCAAACTAAGATGAAATCTCTAGTTGGCAGTTGGCAAAAGGAAATAAACTCAACTGTACTCCCATCTTGTCAGGCTTCAACTCCAACTTTCAGACAAAAACCGAAAACTAACAACTATCTCCACATTATTAGTGATATCTTGTATAAAATTCATCTACAATCTCTCCCTGGGGGATCTTATCCTTTTCCAGTTTTATCTTTCACTTCTTATACAGATAATTTCTACTGGATCCCTCATACTCTAAGGAGTCCCAGATTGAAGCCTGGATCTCAGGCATGTCACTTGCTAGCTATGAACCTAATTCACCTAACCTCTTGTGATGTCAACTTCCCCATATGAAAAAGTGGTGATAATAGTATATACTTCAGAGTGTGGTTGTGAGGATTAAATAAAAATGTTTAAAAATATCGCAAAATAAAAAGCACTACAAATGTAAAGTTTTATTATAACTCCCAGAACTAGTTATAATCTTTCATACTAGTGAGTACCATTGACTGCATTTATATCTCTCATGTGACATGTATTTCATTCAAGTACACACCTTTCTATTCCCCTACTAGATAATAGTCAATGAATGTGAATGCCTGTCACATAGCAGGCACAGTGCTGAGACCTGGGTATATAGTGATAAACCCAGAGTTCCCAGCCTAAATGATGAGTGGGATAGTCATCATAGTAGTAGGTGTGCAATACTAGAAGGACATAAAAAGGAAGTAATCACCATGCAGTGGAAGAATAGTGAAGTGACCATTCCCTTTCAGCCTCCTATACCACAAAAACCTAAAGAAAAACTTTTTCAATATACTACATCCTATTGTTTCTAACAGAAATCACTCAATAAGCATTTGATGAACTGAAATATATTCTAAGGTACAAATAAATATTCCAGAGTAGGAAAGGTCATGGCATTTTTGAGGAAATCAAACAGTTCAATTTGGCTAGAATATGTCCTTACCTATTTATAGCACTGGAATAAGCACTAATAGGCGGTGTGGAACATGGAAGGTTTTTAGAAAGAGGTGTAGCATGGTTAAAAGAATGCTATGGGTGTTTTACTACAATAGCGATGTGAAGATAAGATGTAGAAAACAAGAGGCCTGAGGCAGGGGTACAAATTACAAATGATAGTAGTTCAGGTAGCTCCCTCCCATTTTTGTAATACCTTTGTAGCTAAAAGAACCTTAGAAGCCTGATCTAGCATAGAGCCAAGACAGTAACTCCAAATAATACTAAAGCCTATAACATGTGAAGTACTCCACATATAATACAATTATCAAAAGATGCACATTTATAAATTTTGATAGGTACTATATAGCATTCCCAAAGCAAAATGGGCCCAATTAATAATAGAAATTCAAGTCTCAATGAAAGGTCATCTCCTATACTGAAAATTTAGCTGGTGCTTTCTTCTCTGTAGAACTGATAGTCTCTAAATTCCTTTCGTGACATGCAATGAGCCTCAGAGATTACAATATGAAGAAAAGCAGTATTTTCCCATCATTGAGAGAAATCATGTCAGCAAAGCCAGACTTCAGCAGGAGCTGGGGCCCAGACAACAAAGTGAGTTAAGTATCTTCATTATGGGTAGGCCAGCTATGGCAGAGTTCTGAGGAAAATACAGATTCCATTTTAAATCTAATGTGTGACCCTTTCCCCTCTAACTTGGTCTTCTAGCAGAAATATTTCATCTTATCATGAACTCAAATTTAGAGAGACAACATGCCAGTGAATGTGGAGCACATGAATCATAAAATCTTAGTTTATCATTAACTTTCTTTTTTTTTTTTTTTTTTGAGACGGAGCCTCAAGCTATCCCCTGGGTAGAGTGCCATGGCATCACATTCACAGCAACCTCCAACTCCTGGGCTCAAGCGAGTCTGCTGCCTCAGCCTCTCAAGTAGCTGGGACTACAGGCGCCCGCCACAACGCCTGGCCATTTTTTGGTTGCAGCCATCATTGTTGTTTGGCGGGCCCAGGCTGGGGATTCGAACCCACCACCTTAGGTGTATGTGGCTGGCGCCTTAGCCACTTGAGCCACAGGCGCCGAGCCAGTTTATCATTAACTTTCAATTATCTATGAGAACTATTCTCTTGCCATTGTTCCTCTATGAAGTAAAGCCCAGAAACTCTTTTCTTAGTGTTTGCCTGACTATACATCAAGACCAATGGGTAATTTCATAGCTCGTTGGTCTGAACACGTTAAACATTTCACTTTCAGAAATGGAGTTCCTATTTTGTCAAATTATAAACTTAAGAAACTCCATAGGATATCTATGTTGTCAATAATAGTCATAAAGGTAAATATAATTTTGTTCCTTCCTGATCTCTTAGGAACTGAAGGAGCTTCACATGACGAAGAAAAAAACCACTTTAGGATTCTGTGTAAGGAATCAGACAAATCTGAGAACTAAATGCAAATTCTAACTAATTGGTTTAAAGCATTTGACTATAAGAGCTTCTGTAAGATTTCACCTTCTCTGCTTTTCAGCACACTGACTTTTTGGAATCTGGTCTCTGTCATCCACCAATCTGAGGTCAAGACAACTGACTGCCTCACAGAAGAATTCTCAGTGTCAGGTGGCGCCTGTGGCTCAAAAAGGCAGGGCACTGGCCCCATATGCCTGAGGTGGCAGGTTCAAACCCAGCCCCGGCCAAAAGGAAAAAAAGAATTCTTAGTGTACCTTATCATATGGCTACACAGGAATTGGTAGATATATTCTAACATAGCTCACAGCTTTTAGAACCAAGTCATTAGCTATTTTATGAGATATAGATATGTCATCTTTGAAAACTAAACTTAGACCTCGTTTTGGAGCCCTCTGAGGCTTGGCTAGCTCTCTGACAAGCAATAATCTCACATTATAGAAATAGAGTATCTTTGCTGTGAACATCTTTGCATTACCTCCCTCCTTCTCAGTTTCTGACTCAGAAGCTTCATCTTCACCTTCCTCCTCCTCTGAGCTGGAGCTGCTAGATTCTTTGTTTTCTTCCTCTATTTCTTGGGACTTGGGTGTCTCTTCCTCATAAAGCATCTTCTCTTTACTAAATTAAAGATGACATTTTGAGTGTAAATTCAAAAATGATAAAACATTCAAGTTCACTGACAAGCAGGTACAATAAAGGGAACCAGTCTATAAACCTATATGCAGAGACAACAGCAGAAACATACTCAAATTCTTCTTTACATCTGTGTGTTCTGAGCCCTTGGTTTTTGCAGATTATGTTTTAGTATATGACTTTAGAGATCTGGTTTAACACACAGAAAAAAAGGAGGGCTATAAATTTTGATGCTGATAAGGCAGATAAATATTCAAAAAAAATCATTTAACATATGTTTACTGAGTACTTTTTATACGCCAGGAATCATGAAGACATGGTTCTTGAGCTTACAGTATGGGAGGGAGACGCTGGGAATAAGAACTCCTAAACCAGGATTTTAAAAAATGCTGCACACAGTCTCAGTTAATTTCTGAGTTTATAATATGTTCACCCATCCTCAGTGTCTCTCCTATGTATCAACATCACCTACTTCCCCTGCAAACTTTCTCACATGTTTACAGACAGACTTTTTGGCTAAAGTTAAACACAGAATTTCTTCACAGTATAAATTCTAAAGTTAAGTATGTCACCCACACACAGTAAAGTTCATCCCCTTCTTTAAGCCTCTTACTTCTTAAAGAGTCCACTCTGCAATTTGCTATTCAGATCTGACTCAATGAGTTTATTCCGTGTCTCCTTTTCACTTCGAAGCTGGAAATTGAGAAAATAGGGAGGAAAAAAAGCAAGAAGGTGACTACTGATGAAAAATTAGTGGAAGAACTAAAAATATATACTATTATTCTGAAGAAAGGACCAACACCAAAGAGGTAGAAGGGGAATGGAGAACAAGAAAAACATATCAAGTTGGATTTCCTTGGAAGATAATGATAGAAGAAAACTCTCATCCTAAAGATAGAAGGGAAAAACCATGGTTTTACAGCTTCAACAAAACTGCCTCAAATATCCAAACCTGATCTTCAAAAAAAGCCTAGTTTCTGAAGGACAGAAAGCCAGAAGGAACTTGAAAGAATTCTTTTTGATCCATATACTGAAATAAGTTGGCAGTAGTTCTGAAGAAAACATAGGTACCAAATGGGAAATAAGCCCTTAAAGAAAATGGTCTGGGATTTGAATGCATGCTCCAGGCAAAATTTATTTATATCCCTGGAACCCAAAGTTATGCAAGGGACAAAGATAAATACCATTCCTGTTGGTGCAGAAATGTTATTTAGCGAATAATATTATTTATGTTCAAAACTTAACTATGCTAGGTAAAGAATACACAGGAATTCTCTACACTATTTTAGCAACTTTTTTTTTTTTTTTTGAGATAGAATCTCACTATGTTGCCCTCGGTTGAGTGCCATGGCGTCATAGCTCACAGCAACCTCAAACTCCTGGGCTCAAGTGATCCTCTTGCTTTAGCCTCCCAAGTAGCTGGGACTACAGGTGCCCATCACAATGTCTAGCTAATTTTTAGAGACTGGGTCTCACTCTTGCTCAGCTGGTCTCAAACTCCTGACCTCCAGCAATCTACCCATCTCAACCTCTCAGAGTGCTAGGATTACAGGCATGAGACACCATGCCGGGTCCTTAGCAACTCTTTATCAGTTTAAAAATTACTTTACAATAAAAAGTTTTGAAAACTACAAAAAAGTAATACATTTTGTATTAGGAAGGCTATTATTGCTAAATAATAGCACTGACACCATATTTGGAAAATTTTAGCTTTTAGTGATCCTGATTGCTCAATAAAAAAAAAATTAATTAGAAATTGTATTTGTGGCTCGGCGCCTATAGCTCAACCAGCTAAGGCGCCAGCCATGTACACCTAAGGTGGCCGGTTCAAATCCCCAGCCCGGACCCGCCAAACAACAATGACGGCTGCAACCAAAAAA